TTTATTGTGCATTGGAATTTATATTCGAATTACTAATTGATTATTATTACATTTCTTATGCATTAACAATCAATGATCACTTTCATATTCAAATTATCGAAACGGGGCTAAATCATAGTTTTTTTAAGAATATAATTCTTTTAGGCCCTTATTTGTAATAATTTTCAAATATCGGCCTCTATCTGTAATTATTTTCATTTTGGGCCCTTATTTCATTTTTCCCCATACCTAATTATATAGTAAATTTTGCAAGCTGTGGTTTCGGCATTGTTAAGAAAAAAAAAGTTTATTCTACGTACGTATACCTTTTTTTGGGGGATCGTTAAGGTTAGGGTTACTTTTTTTTGATGCATGCAAGTGTATATTTTTAATTTCAACCAATAAAAAACGAACATATCTGATTCTTATAATCGATAGTGTTATCTTTATTGTTATCGTTATGTCGAGCTCTAAAAAACGATCTAGTCGTGGAAATTCAAAAAGTCAAAGAAGTAAATAAATTATTTTATGCTTAACAAGGTGTTTGTAATAATACAATACTAAATATATAAATTTTTTTTTTTTTTTACACTAATAGAAAAGCCTTACTTTAAGAAAAAACTTAATATCGCAACAATTCAACCTGGAATATCTGGAATTTTTGTTAGTTGTCCAAAAAATAAGGAAGATCATTGCATAAGAGAATGCTATGATTTATTTGACTTGGTAATTATTTGAAAAGATAATCTTCATAAAAGTTTTTTTTGTCTATTTCTTGAAATTTGGGTTAATGTTTTATTAAATTTAGTACGCAGACTTGATTTACAAACAAGATGATTTGACCAATGTTGTAGATGATAATGAAACAAGCAAATTAGTAGATGATGATATTGAAAGTTCTATCGCTAAAGAACTCGCACAAATGAAGCGACCACATACATCACGTAGATTTGCATCAATTCAAACGGGGACAGATTGTGGTATGAATATTAATTGCATATATGAAATGAGAGCATTCGTTCAATTATTTCAACAAATTTATTTATCCTATATCTTATACGATATTTAGTTACCTTTATCAAAACAAATCCTCCTGTAGATCCAGTTCAACTAGTTCACTATATATTGACCGATTTATATAATACTAAGCAAAAGAAAACCAGGTGGGAAATTGAATTGTTTTTTCTAATATGAGTAACGTTTATTAGTTGAGCGTGTGGAAAAGTTGCTTAGTAGCATGTATATTAATATTATTTCTCTAATAGGTTTTGTAAACGGCTTATCCCAATCACACAGACTTGCTATGCCAATATGAACGATATTAAGAAATTAGCCGAAGTAGTATTGTATCCTCATTTTCATAAACAGGAACAAGATCAGCAACCAAAAGTAAAGGTACTAATTATTTTTGGTTAAGAAAAAAAATATATATATATAACTTTCACTTTTGAAGAATTAATTATTCATTAAATTTCATTTTCTTTCTTCTGTATGAAGTACTCCATAATTCCAAATCTCCGAAATAATAATGAAATAGACAGAATGGAATTAATTAAACAGATTGCAAGTGTTGTTGGTGATTATCATGTTGTCAAACTTGATAACCCAGATTTGGTTGTCATTGTTGAAATTTTTAAGGTTTTTCATTCTTTTTAATTTAATACATTCGCAGATGTAATGTTTTTGCATACCATTTTAATGGATGTTTTTTTTCACGTGCAGAGTGTATGCGGAATTAGCGTTCTTTCTGATTACAAGATGTTGAAGAAATATAATGTTGAAAGCATCTTTGAAGAACAAAATAAAGAGAGAAATGAAAATCATGTCCAAGAACATCAAGACAAGGATCAGCAAATTGGTAACGAAGTGCGTCAGCTTGACGATAATATACAAGAAGACATGCAAGGGGAGCTAGATGAAGGAAATAAGTGATGCTAATAAAAAGTTAGTTGAAGGAAATGTATACATAATAAGGAAGTTAGTTGAAGGAAATGTATACGTAATAAGAAAGTTAGTTGAAGGAAATGTATACGTATAAGAAAGTTAGTTGAAGGAAATATATAATAAGAAAGTTAGTTGAATATATCACCGATATTAATTCCGATGAAAAGGACTTGAGCGAAAGTAATCACATTAATAAACTATAAGAAGTTGAATAATTAATTCGTCTGGACTCAAAAAAAGAACTAGCTAATATTATTAACTTTAAATCGACTTTGAGCTTAGATCTAATGGTTTTATTTTTCATGTTAAATTCGGTTAACATCAAAACAAAATCGGTCTTATAATATTTTGATTCAGTTGTAAAATTCTGTAAAATTCGGATAATAGATTTTTGAAAAACACGCGACACGGGTGGCTACGTTATTGATGCAAATAATTAATTAATATTAGATCTACATCAATAATGTAACCACTGTCGAAGGCTCTAGTAATGGGAGTATAACGTTTGTTTAAGGCTTCACTAGCACTAAAATTATGCAGTTATTATTTCAATCACTAATGACACAAAGGTATGATAATAAATTATACTAATTTGTATAGCTTTTTAATGACAATAAACAAGTCTTTTCTAATTCATCTTTATATAATTAATTTTTAACTCTTGTGAAATATATACGTATAAGGTTTTGTTTGTACTTATTTATGTCAGTTTTGACCCGCTTTATAATAATTATGACCAGCATTATATGCAAAAAAGGTGTTTAGTACATTATTTAAATATTGATACGTAATATAAAATAAATAATTAATACAGTAATAAAATAAAAATAAGTATATCGATATTATTTCAGATAAAAGTATAATATTTAATATCATACATTAATACATACGTTTTTTTATTTTTTTTTATTTTTGCATTATGAAAATTTTTACTGTAAATTTAAAGTTAAGAAGGATTTTAATATCATCTGTGGCATATATAGCGACAATAAAAGAATATAATTAATTTACTTCCCATCGTATCTATCTGTCTATCCGTTTTTAGGATTTAACTAGAGATGTTTCTCACGCGAAATGTAACCTCGAATCTTATCGATGAAGTCATACGTTTCACACGAATAATATGTAGAGTGAAAAATATATGCAAGATCTATCTCGCGCGAGAGGATTTTACATTCACATAGTTGCAGAAAATACATTATTGCATCATATAGTACATCAATACGATTATCTTATGGATCGGAGGGGGTTACAACTAGGCATCGTGACGTAACATGTCATCAAACACGCCAATTACCCTTCTATTACGAAGAAATACTACATATTGCTCCAATATCTTTTTACTCACTGGTAACTTTTTTTTTCATATATGCGTGTTTGTTTATAATTTCATCTACTCAATGATAATAAATATGAAACCCTATCATTTTAATAAGCTGGTGTAGTAACTCGCGCCGCAAATAAATATGCGCATTGACAAGTTTATGCGAAAAATCATAGATTACTTTAAATGAATAGATAAATCATCTTTAATGAAATAATGGACATTATTTTTTGCTTTAAATGATTTGTTCGATGGTATATACAAATGAAAAATCCATAGCGATAGGTAATCTATAAAGTTTATAGATCTAATCGTCTCAGGGTGTAATATCAAAATTGAGAATTTCATTGGTTTTTCCTATCGGACATTGCATAGACATACATACGTATTATACATACCACATATCTGATATATTTCGGACAATTATGTAATAAAATGTATATCGATATGGTGATAGTGAAAAAATGTAGCTTCATTACTGCATTAACGATAATGACAATGCGCATATGTGCGTATTTTGTGTATTTCTGTATTTTTTTTTAAAAAAACATCATGTGATATTTTAACAACTTATCTATATAATAATTATCTAGCATAACAAAGACAACAGGATAGTGGTCTGTGAGTTTGTTTCACTGTAGTGGGTAAGATGAACAATCGTAAGTTCCTTAAAGAGTAGCAGGCTTGAGCACACTTGCTTATGTGCAGGATTATTTCGCCACATGCCTTGCGTAAGTAATGAAATTCTGCGTATAAATACTAAAGTCACTAATAAAAAAAACCGTCAAGAGACAATCATTCCAAATATAAGATTGTTTGCAGGCTTTAATACTACCGTTTCCTTGTTAATTTTGAATAACTGTTTTCCTATGAAAAATAAATTTAATATATGCTTCTTTCTTAAACAGCATAAATAATAAAGTAAATATGCATAATTAAATAATTACTTTTTTAGCATAGTCTAACACCTCAGATTTAATCATTCAGTAACGTTTAAATTGGATTAACTTTTTTATTTATTCTATGTAAAAAGGTCTAAGAGATGATAATCAGATTGTATTTTAAGAAACTACAAATTCGTTTGCCACCCAATATACCGTTATTAAATAAGGTCAAAGGTTTTTTTTCTGCAATCATTGCATATACCTGTAATCCATTTTTAAATAAATTGTTCATCTCAAAAAGTGGAACAACAATCCTTTGATCTTTGATAAATAATCAATATTTTATTAGTCTATAATCTACTTTCTTTCATTTATTATTCCCTGTTTCTCATCCACATTCCTCTCCTCCTTTTCGACAATCTTTTGTACGATTACCATTACATATTTTACTAATGGGTAACCAACAATCAACAAAGAATAAAAACAAGAACAAAACCTCATCAAAATCCTCCACCAACGAACAAAAATGTTGGTATGTCGAAGGTCGACGATATACCAATTATAAGAATTCAAAATATTTTTTTCCAGATGATGATATCGAAATAGATAGATTACAAATGCAACATTATCTATTTCGACATATATTCTATGGAAATTTTTCTGCTCCGGTAGAGGATATGCTTAAGCGAGGTGGCCGAATATTAGATATAGGGTAATAGTTTTATCGTTCATTTATTTTTATTTATTTTATTGATTTAATTTAATAATTTTTTTTTTTTTATCATATAGATGTGGACCAGGAACATGGGTTTTAGAAAACAGTTGTGATTTCGTCCGATCTGAATTTTATGGAATTGATATTGCTCCAATGTTTCCAAGCATGATTAAACCGCGAAATGCACATTTTATACAGGCTAATATTCTTGACGGTTTGCCATTTGATGATAATTATTTTGATTTCGTTCATTTAGGTAATGATTCATTAATAAAATTAATAACATTTAAAATATTACAATCGATAATTATTTATTAAAAAAAGGTTTTCTTTATCTACAGGATTTTTATCTGCATGCTTTTCTGAAGAAAATTGGACAACACAAGTAATTCCGGAATGTATCCGTGTATGTAAACCAAATGGATGGATTGAATTTTATGAAGGAGATGGAGCTGCATTTAATGGAGGTCCATGTTATATTCGAGTCGTGGAGTCTTTGAGGCAGGAATTTTCTTCAATGGGTTTAAATCTAAGTGCAGCAATACTTTATAAAGATTGGCTGCTTAAAGAACCAAATCTTACAAAAGTTCAGGAGGAAGTCAGAAAGCAATCCATTGGAAGTTGTGATAGTCTTGCAATGATTATGGAAGAAAGTTTAAAAATCCTCTTTAAAACTTTGGCTCCACGTCTTGCTAATAATTTGGAAATAAGTTTGAATGAATTTGATATAATGTTACAGGCTGTTCACGAAGAATACAACAAATATGGTACTTATATGAATTTTCACAGGGTCTATGCGCAAAAAACATCAATTAACGAACATGTCTGTTGACGCATTATGCTATGTTATATATATATACTATATATATATATATATTATATGATTTACGAAAAAATATGTACAAAAGAAGTTTTATGCTTTGTATAATTACACCAAATTCACTTAAGTTATTGTTTCATTAATCACCTTTTTGTGAAATAAGCTTCTTTTTTTTTTCTTTACAAATATATATATCATATACTTATTATCCTTATTTAAATATAATAAATATGTAAAGGCATTATTGTACACCTGATTTGGAAATTGCGTCCACTCTTAAAGTATCCGCGCGCGTAACATACTTATGTACGTAAGTATGTATAAAGGATTCAAATATCAAAATTCTAGGCACTTATAACTAACAACGACTTTATAAGCTATAATACCGTTGTTGAGCGACTAGACCCTCTTAGTATGTTCCCCTTATTAACAGGACTGCTTTGATCATCATATTCATGAAACTTATAAGGATACAGGGCTTGGGTAGTCCCGCTTTTTCTTTTTATTATGGTTACACTGAGTATGTTTCAATTTTTTATAGTGCAATATTTGATATTAGCTCTACGTATAAATTTACCTGCCTTTTTGACGAACCTGTATAAAAAGTTGATGCATTTTAAAGATTAATATTGTGTATATTTACTATATGTTTCAATTCAAAAAACTTTACAATGCTATAACTTTTTGTAAAAAGTTTTGAAAATTTGCTAAATAGTTTTTAAGAATATTGCTTCCATAAAAAGTTATAATTTACACTATTTTTATTATTGTCTAATGTCGGTTTTATTTTTTCTCTTGTTTGCATTGTTCGTGATGTCTGATAAATATATCCATATTAAGGGAAAACAGGTTGTGAGTGACGGCTGTCGGGTAATTCACAAACTTTGATTTTTTACATTGTGAACATTATATTATTGTCGCTTGCCAATGTTGTGTATCGGTATAATTGTACAGTCAGACCTCAATATAATCACCAGGTTGGTAACCAAAATGCAATGTGACTAGGGTGATAGTGCCTATATAGAGGTTAATTTTCTTATGCTTTATAATGGTTGGTAAAACGAGAATAGAATTATTTTTATATTTCTTGACTATATCAAGAGTGACTATATAGGTCTGACTGTAAATGATATAATTTTATTAAAGACGTATAAATGTCTGCTGCGTTTTTGTTCTATTTTGAATCGATATTACATTTAACAACAAATTACTATCGATTTATTGATACGTATCAGTATTGTCGTTATGTTAATTTACATAAGTATATTTATTAGCCTTAATATTCAAATATCTATATACTATATTATATATATATATATATATATATTTATTTATTTATTTATTTATTTATTATATATTATATATATATATATTAAAATTTTTTAAAGCGTCTGTCCGCTTAAAACAATCTGATTGGATCAAGGATCATCATGATTTTAGAATCACGAATGGGTGATATACATCCAATCAGCATTTAAATCAATATAACAGATCGACACGGATCAGCCCGACAGAATGGAAAATCCCGTAAAATTAAATAAAAGCTTATTATCAGTTATTAGCTTCGGACACCTGTTTTCCTAGTATATATCAGACATATCATTGTAGATTTGTTATAGATTTTTATCGGATTGTATTTATTTAAATTTAGTGTACAAATACAAATTTATGAATCTAAACCACATACGTACCGTGTATCATTACATGTACTTTTACTCTTAAGCACGGACATATTGACCTGCCAGTCTACTAATAAAGTTACTAATTTCTATTCGAGTTACTATTGATGCCAATTTTGATATTGATTTGCTTTATTCTCCCACTATAATAGTAACAATAATCGTATTAAGGGCTGCTTTATTTATACTATTTAAGCAATTTAAGGAGTTAATTATTTCAGAAATTATACTATTACGTGATAGTGGGATATTATGTTTTTTTTATGAACTGCTCATTTTGGTAAAGTTTAAAAGAAAGAAAATCTTTGATTATTAACGTTAATTCAAAATTATTTAATTACCGTTACGGACTTTTCACTTGTGTATGTAATCGGGAAATCTGTATGCTTTAAATTGGTGTCGTCTAAAGCCATGAACCCACGTGACTTTTTTGTGTAAATCAACCAATTGGAATTAGCATGGCAGGCTTTGATTTTGATTGGATGATTGTTTCGCGAACACAAAAGTGGATTGTAGACCACGAATACGAATTGTAGAAGGTTAAGACCAAAAAAATTAAAAGTAGAGGCTTCGTTTTATATACTATTAAAATAATTCGATAATCCACGAAGTAATTCGGAAGTTAGATGAGAAGTATGTTCAAACGGTTAAGTTTAGCCTATATATACAATAGGTCGATTAAACTCGGCAATCTAAGCTGCCCTTTATTTGTGAAAGCCTATTCTTCGTGATTACAACTAACGAAGCAACTTGACTATCATATGAAGTTGCGACTTATAAGACTCAATATATTTCATGAGAAGAGTTAATACAAAATACAGAACTCCGTGCCGTCGGGACCATAGGAAAAAAAATTGAAATAGTGCACTTAGAGAGTGTGTGCATTTATAGAGTAGAAATATACATAGCTCTTATGAGTTGGGGCCAGATTATGCCGTACATTTAGAGAGTTTTTACTTAGTCCGTGCATTTATAGAGCGTGCATCTGTATAGTTCTGACTGTTTTAACATTTTTTTAATTAATAAATAAATTAAGGATCAGGTTGATGTTAGAACAAAGACTATATTTCCGTTTATTTATTATTAGTATTCTAGAAATAGTTTAAATCTCATTTGTTTTATTTCATTTCATTCTATTTATTTTATTTTATTTTTATTTTATTTTTATTTTATTTTTATTTTGATTTATAGTATTACTGTATATACATTGGAATTCATTAATAAAATTTAAGTTGTTGAATTTTATTTGTGGCAGAATAAGTTTTGGGTTGAAAGTATCGAAATTAATATTAAAAGTTTAAAATTTTGATTAGCCAATAAAATTTTTACAATATCACGGGATGATTTGCAAAAATTAGCCAATCACGATGTAAGCCCGCTATGCTACTAGAATTGCAAATTTTGTTTATACGGTGTGAACGGGAAAAGGATCGTCAGGTCGGTGGCTCCAAAATCGGGTACGTCTTATAACCACTCTGGGTTAATTTCGTTCGAAAGAGGCGTGTTAGATTTGGCGAGTGGTCAACGGGATTATATTCGGGTTCTCTTAATGAAAGGGAAGTTTCGGGTTGGTTATTAGGTAAGTGTATTGACAAAAGTTAGTGTTTACAGGTTAGGGACAGATTATGTATTAGCGAATGTATTATTTTATTTGTCAAGGGCGGGAATTGTTGTTCTTCCCAAAGGGCCTCTTGGCCTTTATTTATAATTGTAGAGTTCTATTTACATTATGCGATGGATACGACTGATATCTTTGAAGCTACTGATCAGTCGTATCCTACTGATATTTCCCTTCTGACCGATCGCTGCTATCTGTCGCATTCGTCACATGCGTCACATGCGACTGATCGGTCGCATGCGACGGATGCGACGGATGCGACAGATGTGACTGATGCGATCGAGTCCTTCCCTAATTTAGCAATGGGCCCCCAACCGGCCAGGGTCCATTCAGGTTCCACAACGGAAAAGTCAAAAAATAAAGAAATCGCAAAGAGACAAAAAAACTACGGTCTAAACCTGTCTTGGGGCACTAATTAAAAATGTCGGGAAGGCAATTTTACCTGTACTCTTTTTCTTATATCAACAAACCAACCCTAATCCTAACCTTAATTTTAATTAAAACGATTAAACCGTCAAAGTCATGGCTTTAGCCATCCCTTTTAAATAGTAATTTTTTTCCTGTCATAATGATAAAAATATTTCACCAAATGAGTGTTGCAGTATGAAAAAGGGTCGTAGTAAATCATTAAGTCATTTGGAGGTTTTCTCTGTAACGCTCGGAAACGGAATTTACGGTAAGTGGATTCGGAATTTATATATAAAACCCCGTTTTGGAGGTTGATTTTATCATATGTACAGTACATCCTAACCCTAATTTAACTAGAAAATTCCCAAATCCACTTAAATTCCATTCCGATAAAGAACTGCATTGGGCGAATCTATTTGTCGTCAGCGGTAACAGTGATGGACCAATTATATTATACCCAAGCAACGATTTATGGTATAAAAATTTAACTTTATAACAATATTAAATTTACTTTTTATTTATATCACCACCAAAAAATACTCTAATAACAGTATCAGCTTTATAAATATCCGAATACATTTGTTAATAGTTTATCCCTTAAACCATCAGGTTTAGCGCGCAAATTTGCATACTAAAATTTTTGAACGAAAATTTAATTCTAAAATAAATTTTTTTAAATAAAATTTCTAATTTAATTAGTTATAATTTCAAAAACTCAAGTCATATGGTGCACTCTATAGTTATGGCATGGATCACTTCCTGTGGCCTGAACAAAGTACAAATTCACATGATGGCTGAAAAGTATGCAATTTTACCTATACTTTTGAGCCATCTTATCTCTTTAATATTATTTCAAAAAACTGATTATGTAAAGTTGATCATGAAGAATTCTTAATGTTATATTATAAAAGGTACCTGCGTGCGAAGAATTTTTATAAGTGTCACGTGCAGGTTCCTTTTTTAGTATTAAATTTAAACATCAATATCCTACGCTTTAATTTAGCTTAGAAAATAGAAGGGCAAAGCTTAATAAAATTTAGAGTAATTGACCAAAAATAGGTCAAAAAAACATTTTAACGTTCAAATTTGCACGTTAGACGGTTTAAGAGATAGTAAAAAGATTGAACAAATGAATATTTGAATTTGATTAGATCAAACCCCTGATGGTTAGAACTATTGTAAACTAATTACATGATCGATCTCTATTTATTGTTGGGGTATTACTTACCAAGCAGGAAGTATTAAACGAAATGAACGGAAGATCATACCGAGATAACTTACCCCTGCGCGTTATTTCGAGACGCTTATCTGCGTTATTTCGAAATAAAGGTCAAAATTTTGAGCCCGATGTACATATATAAAACCAATTAATCCATGTTATGTACAAAAAGTGCGCATTATTTTAATATAATACTTTTAAAGGATGTAATTTCCAAGATAATGCTCACTAGCATTATTTCGCGATCATATGGTAATGTATTTTTAATAAAAATAATGATGGCAGAAAAGACAGGATACCATCTCAGATATAAATATATAATAGATAAGAGTAAAGTTTCACTGACAATAATAATTTACTTATGTACACATATTTAACATAACTATCCGATCTATAGCGATAGGTTTTCCTGATGAATAATTATATAACAATGAAAAAAATGAATTCAAGTTTGCAACGATAAATCTGAAGAACGGGCTTTAATACAGAAAATCAATTCGAGAATTATTATCCTAGTTCATAGAAATAACCATAATATTTATGGCGAATAAATCCGTTCAACTAATCGAACCGTTCATTGTGAATCGATCTGTTACCTCTGCTTTATATTTTTCAAGTAATTTATCTAATTCATAATCAAACTCATCTTTATCTTTCCAGGGTGCCCAAGTATTAAACGTTAACACCGAATCACCAACTGACCAAAATCCGTTGGTGTTTTCTTTAACCTGGAATTTTTAAATCATTTAATCAAGTTTAATGTTAACACAATTTGTCTATTAATCGACACTATGTTAATTACAAAATATATAAGATCAATTATCAAAATCATACATCAAAGCGTTGAAAATCATTATTTTCTATTGATACCTGAATAGTTGGAGGATCATTGAAAGGAATACTTATTCCGTTCGAACATTCTTCGCTCCAGAGTTTCTCTTCGATCACGTCCGTGTATGTTATAGATTTCTTATTTGTATTTTTGGCATACCACGACGTTGTATAATTCTGCTATAACAAGAGTCCGAGTTTGAATCAAGTATCAGGATGATGAGGATGATGAGGATGATGAGGATGATGAGGATGATGAAGATGATGCGAAAGAAATAAAATAATTACTGGCTCACTAACATCCATGTAATTTTCTTTTAAACGACTTTTATCATTCGTTTCATTGTAATGATTAATTTCATGATTAATTTCATGATTAATTTCATGATATTTTGGAAAATAAAATCCGTTGTCATTTGTATCCTTGAAAATCGGAATGGTATTTGTACTTGATTCTTGATCAAAAAAGTTCGGATCATTTTGTGAACCTGAATTATTATTTTGCAGTTGCTTGCGAATAACAACGATAATAAATTAATATTTGTGAATAAGTCATATCATACTTATAATAACATGTATGAAAATGAGTGAATAGAGTAATCACATTATTTGAGCTATGTGCGTCATCAGTCTCAGCATGCTCAAAATTCATGTTAAGGTTATTCCACTCTCTATATCCTTCAGTGCAAAAGTGCTCCATTGATTTACCACAATCGCCATTAAGCTTTTGATCTTGATAAAAATTACCACACAAGGAAATTATACTATTCATGTCAATATTTTCGTTTTCCACAATTTTAAGAATTTTCTCGTATAAGGGTATCATAACATCTAAAATCAAACGTTCATTATTTGCACCATTTGCCGTAAGTTTTTCATTGCCCTTTTTTTTGGATTTGATTATTACAAGAGGCTGATTACTAAAGATTCTAAGATACCGTTTCGAGAGAAAAATTTTTAATTATTACCCCATTTTCAATGTTACTCATTTTGACATTTTCTGACCAGAAATCTTTATCAATATTCATATCATCAATTTTCGGCTCATTACTGTTTGAGTAGAAATTTTTATCAACATCTTTAACTCTATCTTCATCATGTTTTGTCCCAATATTGTTTCTGATGACTTCTTGATTAACCATCATTTCATTTCCCCATACTTGATCGATATTATTCATCTCATTGGATGTCAAATTAGAATTTTCTTGTTTTCGTCTTTGTCTTGCTTTATAGGTGCGAAAATTGCGCAACAATTGCTGACCATACTTTAAGCTTTTTAAAGGCATCCATTGCCATGGTTTATCACGTCCTGTGATTAAATAATATGAGCACAAAACATAACAATATGCCATTATTCAAATTTTATTTTGAAATATTTATTGAAATATTTAAAAAATTACTTACTGTTGAATGAGACAAGAACATTCAATTGACCTTTGAAATGCTTTTCGTTACGAATACAAGTCGGATATATGGCATCTTCTCTATAATTTTCTAAATTCATGTAACATGTCCATATTCACAATACCAAATATATATTTATGTATTAAATATGGCATGTAATACCTTCGCTTTTTGTTGTATATTTCATATGGGATATTTTCGTCATTATTGTCGATCATTGTCTTGTCTTTTTAATTATTTAATTCTCGTGTGAATTCTGTAGTTATATATATTTAAAAAAAAAACCTTTGAATAATGATAAATATATAATTTTCTTCATAGACTTGTCAAATGTCATTGAATTATTTTGCGCGTCAACCGAGGATGTTATTTATATAAGGTCATTATTATTTTTGCAAAGTTTAATTTTACCGATCACGTCATAGTTTTCTCATTATGCCTATTGATGTAATTATTGCACAGTAATTGAAATTTTTCGCTCTATTTAAAACTTTATTTTCATACTCAAAAAATAAAAATCATGACAATCGCCAGCATCAAACACTTAAAGTCAGAAAACAACTTACCGTATTCTATCGTAAATAAGCTCCATCCTCAGAGGGGACAGTGTTTATTTACGGTAGAATACGGTAATAGCAAAATTTTTATCATGTATGACATTATAAAACATATTTTGCATACGTACGTATATTATGCCGAAGGAGGTTGATTGATAAGTAGATAAACAACTTTACATCAAAGTTCGGCAGATCGATCAAAATTCCGATAAATTTTGCCAAATTTTACTAACATACTTACTAAGTAAAGCTTAGTATCGTCACCAAAACCAGGTTGCTTAAAATTCTATCTGAGCATTAGCATAAGACTTACGAAATCACGAGATTATCGAAAAAGGTGTCTTTTCTATTTATTCGAATTATTCAGATTAGAATTTAATTGTTTCAAATTTGAATCGAATTACATTCAAATTCGAATGCTTTAAAATATATTTATATCAAACTTTTTTTTTTTAGTTATTTTTTTTTAAACTTTCAAATTTAAATTTAATACTGTAGAAAAAGTTTTTTTTGCTCATCCAAAATCTTTAATGTCATTTACTATTTTTTGATTATGTATGAAATTTAATTTAATACTTTGAAGCTTTCTTTTTTATTTTGAAAAATTATTAGATTTTTAAGATAATTAAATGCTGAAACAATAATAATATTATATTAATGTATATTTATTTAAATGTAATTACAGTCTAATATTGATAGTCACTCTTGATATAGTTATTGCAAATTATATAAAAAATATATTTTCTGGTTTATCAATAATTGTAAACATAAGAAATTAATCTTTATATAAGTACTATCATCTTAGTTACATTGAATTTGGATTATTAATTTTGTAACTATATTGAGGTTAAATTATAATAAATAAATAAAATTTTATACAGTCGACCTTCGTTAATATCAATCTCGTTAATGTTAACCTAAGCCACAAATCAAATTTTATAAAATTTTTATATATCAGAATTCCTTCATATATTTTAACATTAATATAATCTCTCATTAATATCACTATCAGCATAATTTAAAACCAATCCAAATGAGTTGATATAAACGAGGGTAGACTGTACTTTATAATAAGTTTTTTTTGTAATTCTTTAAAGTTTTCTAATTTGAATTTATAATCTTTATATATAATTAATTAAATCTGATAGTTATAAATGTTTTTTATTTTTATAATGAAGGAATTTTCTAAATTTTATTGCATCTAAATTAATATTAAATTTAGAAATTTTTTTTTCTAAGGTGGATTTTTATAATAGTTATCATCTTTATTATATTTTTAATTATATATATATATATAATTTGTACAGTTATTCTTCTATATAATTACCTTCTATATAGTCACAAACTCTATATAATCACAGTATTTTAAGATACAATATTTTTTATTTTTTTATTTTTTATTTTTTATAAAAGAGGCCTTTTCTTTAGTTCTTTATTTTGGTAATATATAATTAAGTATATTAGTACAAATTGATACATTAAACTAAGGAAGTAGAAATTAGGACTAATTTACCTTCAACCTATTCTTAGTTAGAATGGTTGTAGAGACTTCTAGTCTATGGGTTCAATAAGAGGAAATATTTAGTTAAATTGTATGAATCTATTAAGTTAAATTATATATTGTCTATCTATAGAAATTGTAAATATAACATTTATGTTTTTAGAAGAAGTTAGTAAAAAAGAGAAGTGTTGTTAAAAATGTTGTTTACTTGGTTTCCATATAAGTTTGTGTATCTTCTTTGTGATTCAATGGTATATATTTGAGAGCAGGTTTAGTTTTTTTTTTAAGAATCCAAGATTATCTAAATCATCAAATATAATTCCTATTAGAATTTTTTGTTTTATATAAATATTTTAGATTTCTTGGGGTAAGTCAAATGCTATGAACGATTTGATCTCATTGTTTTTACAAATTTTGATAATTGTTTCTTTTATTATTTCTTTTAGTTTTACTTAATTGGGAGGGCAAATTAGCATATGATGAATATTTTCTAATATACTAGAGCATTTTGTGCAAAATGGATTAGTATACGATTTTAGATTTCTGTTGTATAAATTTGATAAGTAGAAAGTTCTGAGATTAAGATTTTGATTTTGAATGTTTTTAGTAAAGATTTTTTATAATCAGTATTTTGACTTAGAGATTTGTTTTGAAAGTTAAGATATGCAAATATAAATTTTCAGTTAATGTTTGAAAAGCAGTTTGTAATGTTTTTAATATATTTCTGATTGTTTTATATTGTAATTGCTTCAGCATATTGTAGAATTTTGGTTATTTAATAGATTGTATATATAGTTAGTATGCTTAGTATATATAGAATAAAAGTAGTATTAAGTACTATACTTGAAATTAAGTCTGTATAAAATTAGTATAATGCATTTTTTATATTGATCTTTTCTTTTGTTGTATTAATTTAAATTTGTAAGTTTTTTGTATTTATTATAATATTTAGAAGGTTAATTATATTGTTGAAATGTGTTTTTCTAAGTCTTTTATCAACAAAAAAAAATAGGCTGATATATATTAATTATTAACTATAATAGATATATATTGATAGTAATCCTCTCTGTTAGATTATATCAATTAAGATATATATTAATATATATTCATTATAATAGAAAATTGATAAAAAATAATTTAGTATAATATTAATATTTATCAAATATATTTAGTACTATTAATTTCATACCAATAACTATAGTAATACTAACTTTTAACAAATTTTAAAATAATTACAATTTATATATATAATATTTATTTATTGAATATTATAGCAATAAGCAATAGATAATATATGAATAAGCAATACATAATATACAAAATATTAAAAAAAAATGATACATAAAAAAAAAATATATAAAAAAAATATATAAAGAAAAAACATTGAATTATAAATTGCAATTAAGCAATTCTATACAATTTATTTAACTCATCTTCAGAAAGACTTATTAAAGAAATATTCCAAAGAAGAGATTCAGGATCAGGATTATATTAAAAAGAACTCTTATTATATCATTTATCATCATAAGCTTTACCTTTACCTTTACTTTGAAGAGCTTTAGCATTTTTGTATGATAAATTATTACTTTTGATATTAATCTAATATAATATGTTAATGTTAATATTATATAATATTAAAACTAAAATAAATTTCAATAACTTATTAAAAATTGTTTAATTTAACATTTTATATGCTTCTTTGTACATAAAATGTTTTATAACCAAGAGTTTAATAGAATGTCATATATTGAAAAGATGAATACACTATATTTATTTGTCAAAACAGGAACTGTTGTAGTAGAAAATGCAGTTCATATGATTACTAATATCTAATAAATGTCTTCATTGTTTTGTTCAAAAAGTGTGCAATAACAATTGTTTACTTGTAAGCTTTCTTTTTATTGAACAATATCAGCTGCAGCTGCATTACTCTTCAGAGATAACAATTTTTTATGCCTAAATATGCACTAAACTACAAACCTAATACTTTGAAGGGCTGCATTATGATTATTTTTGATTTTTTTAAGAAGCTATAAAATAATAGTAACTAATTATTCAATATTACAAATATTATATGCTCTAATTAAAAGATCTGTTATTTAATAATATAGATTATAGTTAATAAATGTATTAAAAAAATATAAACAATTATTAATAACTATAAACAATACATAATTAAAAAAAAATTACCTGAATCAATTTTTTACTATGAAAATAGTTAGTAAATTCATTTGGGCTTATGTTAAATATGAAATCTGAAAATATTTTATCTATATAAAACTTAAAAATCTTTTTGATTACAGCCTGAATAGGTTAAATATAACTTAAGAAAAGGCATTTTGCAACACTAGTATATGTGTTCTATAAAAAATAAAAATTTAAAATATTTCATTACAATCTTTATAAGTATCAAGTACTCACATCCAGAACTTTCTGTAAAAGCTCATTTTTTGTATCAACTTGCTGCTTTTTTAATTTGTTTTTAATTTCCTATATATTCTCACTTAATCTTTTCATTAAAAGGTACAGCTGCTGATTTTGAGTAAAGAGTCACTAATCAACTTGTTAGTGATAATTGCTCACATGTTCTTCAAATCCAGTATATTAAAAAAAAAATAAAATAAAATTAAAAAAAAAATTAAGATTATAAGATCATCATCTAAAGAGATCCAAAAAAAAAAGATCTTATATACTATCATGATGATCTCATAATTAAGATCTTCTTTATGATTTCTGCAGTAATAATAATCTATCTTAATCAATAGAATGCAATCTATAATAAGAAAAATGAAAATGAAAACAAGAAGGTGATGGTTGTTATGAATAAGATGGCTGTTTTGATTGGACAGCTTGTCTTAATTGGGTAGCTTGTCTTAATTGGGTAACTTGTTATAATATAGTTTATTTATCTTTCATTTACTCAAAGATTTCTTATACACTTTTAATACTTTTATATAAATCTGAAGAATTATTGTCATATTTTTAAGATTATTTATAAGATCCAGTTACTGATTTATAACAAGTTTTATTGATAGAAATAGCAGATGATTGTGAACAGATGTTGATAGGAATAGCAGGAAAAGATAATAATTGTAAACAAATTGTATTGGTAAGAATATTAAAAAAAGATAGATTAAAAGGGTTATTAGTAGATAAATTA